GAGGTACCTTTGTCAGAGCTGGCTGACAGTGGTAACACAGATGAACCAATTGTGGTTTCAGGAAATGCCTCTGTTGCCCAAGCTGAAGGAGGCTGGGAACATGTAGAACTTGAAGGTCCAAATGAAGAAGGAGTAGATGGAGAAGAATGGTTAGGTGTTGAAGAAGAAATAAAGGAAGACCAATAGAAAAGCTCAAAGGTATGGGTGTCATTTCTGAGATATTACGGGAAGCGTCTGCTGAAGGAGCAAAGTGGTTGACTTTAAAGAACGTGTACGATTGGCGGTTCAGAAGTCCGGGAAAAGGTGAGCATGAAAAATGGTTGAGGCGGTGCAGAATTGTGTGCAGGGAATTCAAGACTATTACAGGTTCCCCTGCAGAGACCTTTGCGCCGACCTCAGGACTTGCAGCCATCAAGTTAATGGTTACGCTCTATTGCGTGCTACGATTTTTGCTTTGGATCATTGGACTGTGCAGATGCGTTCCTTCAAGCTCCGCAACAGGAGCCATGCATTGTGGAGATCCCGGCGTGGATCAAGAAGCTACTTGGGTACACCCAAGATATGATCTGGCGTCTGAAAAGGTGTTTGCCAGGACAAAGGAACGCAGGTTTGAGATGGTTTGAGTACATCAGGAACATCCTAAAGGTCCTACAGGAGATGGGCTTTGTAGCATGTTCAGCGATGCCCACCATCATGAAGCACATAAAGTGACAAGCGTACAATAATGTGCATGTAGATGATGAGCTGCTAGCTGCAAACAAAGAAGATGGAGAGTGGGTGATCGTGGTCTTAAGCCAGAAGCTCACCCTGAAGATAAACGGACCCTGCCCAGAGATTGAGGATAAGGAAGGAGATGCTCTACCCCAAGAAGATTTTCAAGTTTGTGGAGGAAGGAGTTTTGGTACTACCGCACGGAAAGTACTTTGAAAGCCTTGGAAAGGTTGACGGGATTAAGTTCCAGCAGCAGAACGTTCAAAGCCAAGCCGACACCAGACCACAATGGTGTCGGAAAGCCAAACTCGTCAAAACCTTGTGGGAGTGAGGAAAGCACAAAGTTTAGCAGCGTCCTTCGAGTGTTACTTTACCTTTGTCAGGAACGAGCGGATGTTCAGTTTGCGGTGAAGAACCTTGCTTCCTACCTCAAGACCCCGACTGAGGCAGCAACAACGTTTGCTAAGCAGACCGTGAAGTACCTTTTGGGTACTAGGGACTATGGTATCCTGTCTCCCTATGGTGACCTTTTCTCCACAGCAATGGACCAGATGCCGAATTTCAGCGCAGGCCGCCTTAGATCCCAGACCTCTTTCTACTTTAGGTCGCTGAGTCGCTGAGGTCTAGGGCTGAAACTATTTGAAAATGCCTGTCCGAAGGACCGTGATGCCGAAGAAACATTCGATCTCCACTTCTACTCCTGCCCTAGGCAAAGACCGCAGACATCTGTTCAGGCGGGTGGCATTTTTGCGGATAGTGATTGGGGAGGAAGCAGCAAGGACCGGAGTAGTGCAAGTTCTGGAATGATTTTCGGTTGTTCATGAATGGTAGCAAGTCGGTCAAGAACCCAGAAGAGTATAGCGCTATCATCATGTGAAGGCGAGCTGGTGGCAGCAACCATGGGAGCAACGGAAGGAATCTTGATGAAGGAAATCTTGAGGTTTCTCCTCTCAGTAGAGCTCAAGATTGTGGAGCCAGAGTTGGAGAGCAGGTTGGATTCTTCGTCTGCCAGGCAATGGTTGCAACAAGCTGGCGTAGGAAGGCTCAAACATTTGGCGTCGCGCAGTTTGTGGTTACAAGACGCAGTGAGGGAGAAGACCCTCTACCTGAGAGCCATCCCTGCAGCTCAACCTAAGTGACCTCAACGCAAAAGATTTACAAAGGCAAGAAGAGAGCTACTTATGTTCTACCTAGCAATGGTAAGAAGTAGTGAGGAACCCTTGGAGAAAGTTGGTGAGGAAGAAGTGTACGAAGCAGTTTGCAAAAGGGTTTGCCAAGGAGAACAAGCAGTTGTTTCGATGACGCGTTTGGTTCAAGCAGTGATGTTGCTAGAAGGGATAGGTGTCCGTGGTGAGTAGGAGATGAACTACCCAGCTGCTCCTATACGTGAAGCAGGTATGGAGTTTTTCGGCTACGACGACATGGATGAGTTCACCAGGTTTGTACGTGATGTTTGTTTGGTGCTGATGAGCTTTTCCATTGGAACGGTTGTTTGGTTCATGTGGGACAGGATGACAGGACCAGCAGAACCTGAAGAAAAACTAGCCGGAGAACCTCAACAGCAACCTGAACGTGCAGGAGAACCCCAACTACGTGTACCAGGACGGCAACCTCAAGGAGGACAAGGAGAGTACGGAAGTCCAGAAGAAGTTGAGGCAAGGTTGAATGCCTGGATGAGAGAAGAGATTATTCAGGAACTACGCCGAGGTGAAGAAGAGGAAAGACGACAACGTGAAGTGCAAAGACAAAGAGAGTTGGACCGTCAAAGAGAAGAAATCATGGCTGAGTTGAGACAAGAGGCCACTGCAGCAGAGTGCAGAAGACGGGTGGCGGCAGACAGAGTTTGGTCAAGGTCACGAGGACGGGAGTGTGCTACCACAAGCCCAATTGTCCACGGCTACATCATCGCAATGACAATCAACTCAGGACAATGTCCAGAGGTGAGGCCGTGGGACGAGGACTTCGAGAGTGTGACCAATGCCGTGCTGGAAGTTGACTTCTGAGAAGCCATGTACATATGTAAAGGTGTATAGTTGTACCTAGGCAGCAGTGAACGAGGGAGAAGTTCAATTACACGAGTGTGAGGACATGAGTGTCCAGGCAAGTTTCACTCAGGTAACTAGTGCCAAGCACCACAAGCTGGTGAAAAGAAGAAACAAGAAAGAAAGCAAGAGAAGGAAGTAGGAAGTAAACAGTTTGTACAGTTTGGAAAGTTGACCGATCCTAATATGGATTGTTGGTTTCTGGTACAGAGACTTTAGGAAAGCGTGAGTCTGTGGTGTAGCCCCAGAATCGAAAGGATATCATGCGGCTACACCAAAGCGGGGTGTTAACCTAGTACCTATGTGTGGATACCCCAAGCCCATTACGCTGTATAGTATGTTTGGAAGTGTTTTCATGTGTGCAGTGAGCAGCATGCGCATACAGTGTTTGAAGTGCTTGAAGCCTGACAAAAGTTGTCAACACAATGTGTTGGCTCAAGACCGCAACAAGAGCAAAAAAAACAAACGATTTAACAGTATCCGCAGCCTTTAAGAAACCTCAAATGCTGCGATTTGCAGCATTTGGAACCGACCCCAAAATCGAGTCCGCATTTGAGGTTTTGAAAAAAATCAAAAAATCACCAAAAACCAAAACGATTCCAAATTCATTTTGCGTCCCTTCAAGAGCAGAATATGTCTGCAGGGATTGAAACATCATTCAGGTATGATAGGTTCGACTCGCGTGCACACACAGACCTGCTCGTACAGGCCATTCTTTCACTGGTGACGATGGGCTTCATCAAGTTCATCTGCATATTAAATCGACTTTATAAAAAATGAGAACGGGTTTATATGCCCACATTTTTCTTATTGGCAGGAGGTTGCGGAGGCCACGCGGACACCACAGCGCAAGCGTACACAAGATAAGCGGCATGGATTTTTCAATTAATCGGCCGACCGGCCATGCACAAAGTTGGGAGGTCGGGGCATGCGTGGGGCTTGAGAGTCCTGAGCATAACTATATAGCGCAAAAGATTGGAGGTTTATTGTTTGGGATGGATCCACAGATCCACAACGCATGTTGACGTACGCAACTTTGAGTTTTCTCTAGCTCCATGCTAGGGCAGGCTAGTTTCTCCGCTGATGGTAGCATCCGGCACTACGCTAATGAACACATCTGTGGCCACAGTTGATTGTTGTAATCATCCTCAAACAGCAACCTCCCAAGTGTGTTATATCGATGAATTAGCCTACCAACTTGTAGAGAACTGGAGGTTCAGGCAAAGATTGTTTTTGTCTTTTAATTTCTTGAGCAGGAGCAACCAAACTGAATCGCTATGAGCACATGTCTGAGTCTAGCAGAGTGACATATCATACCCAATCCCTTGTTGCAAGCTGGAAAAGGGTCGTTGTCAGTCAGACTCAAGTTCTACTCAGGCTGGTTTCGCGGTCCCAGGGTCTGTTGGGTCCTGCGGTGTAGTAGCGTGTTCTAAGAGTCTTTTGGGTGGCATGGTGTGGTCTGATCCAAGGGTTGTGCGCCCAAGGTTTTGGGGCAATGTGCTGTTTTGAGCGTAGATTTCGATGGCAGAGCCGCACGAGGTCGTCGCGTTTCGAGTTCGTTGGTATGTTCTCCACCAGCAGGAATGTTAGTGCTGGAAAGGTGAAGGACGGCATGTGATGACTGACGGCTTAGCATAGGGCTTTTGTCCTTCGTGCTATGTATATAACGGTGCAAAAGAGGGTTATCATTGTAGCGGCTTTGGGGTACCACTCCCATATTCAGGATGATGATGATGATGATGGTGGTGGTGGTGGTGATGTCTGATTTTTATTGGGAAATTGCATTGAATATTTTCTGAGTGCATGTTCAAGGAAAACCTGAGAGAAACGCTTATGACAATGATATTTGAGAGATGTTTAATAATCACTTCCGAGAATTCCCTGCAAGAATGGGCCGTGGAGTCTGATTCTGTGGGAGCTGCAGCCGTGTCAGCTCCACAAGCCATGTTTCGTGCCTTCTTTCTCAGCATGGCTTGTTGTGCACCCTACAGACGAAGATACGTCATCCAAAAGTGGATGATGTACAATGATGGTGCTAGGCTGTTCAACACGTGGGGCCAGTACTCGCTTCACGGTCGGGGTTTGAAAGAAGAGTGGGTCAATAGCGAATTCGCGCTGGTACATGCGCAAGACGCACCGTTTCTTTGTGTTCAGAATTATCGTATGCTAGTGTTTCAAGACCATCACGTCACTTGACCATATTTTCGAGTTGCCTTTTGTCTACCATTGCAGTCTTGTGGGTGTGAGGTGCCTGCATCATCTGGCTGGGCTTGTTCATTGAGCTGGCTGACTTGGGCAGCATCTTCCCAACAGCTGGTCGATACGGTGACGGTCAATTCGGTTATCACCGGCTGCACGAAAGCTCGCCGTTGGCGACATGTGGTTGCTCTCGTGGAACTTCTGGGCAAATGGGTTCTGCAACCAGACATTTTGACGGTCACATTGACAACATCAGCATGCACATCCAGTTGGCATCATGCAATGAGGTTTCTGCAAGAGATCAATCTGGATCTGGATGCGCTGCGCTTGAATTGGGGCATTTTGCCAGATACAGTCTTTTGCAACACCTTCCTGCGAGTTATGGAAAGAGGACAGCTCTGGCAAGAAGCGGTACGTTCTTTCATCAGGCAGGATGTAGGACGGCATTGTGACACATGTGGTAATTCAGAAGATCTGTTCCTGTATTTTCACCGCCCTGTCAGGATGCAGCGGGCTAGAGCCGATGCAGATGCTGTTGGACTGAGCACATTGCTATCAGCCACAGCCAAGGCGAGTTCATGGACTCAATCCATGTTTCTCTTTCTCCATATTCGACGTCTGGGTCTTGCTCTAACGGTCGTTAGCTACAATGCGGTCATGAACGGCTGCTCTATGTGTGCAGCTTGGACGCAGGCAGCAGTGCTGCTTTGGGACATGCACATCAGGGCCATGTTGCCAGATGTGGTGTCCATGAACACGTTCACTTCTGCATGCAGCCCCTGCGGCAAGTGGGCGCAGGCCCTTCATGTGCTTCCCTTTGCGGACGCCTTCGGCTTGGCTTCTGCAGCAAGAGCATGTGCCACTGCTCTGCGGTGGCACAGCGCCCTTGGGCTCCTGCAAGGTGATTCGGTGGGGATAATTGAATGCAATGCTATTTTGAATGCCTGTGCGGAGGCAGGGGAATGGCAAGCGTGCTTGTGCGTGCTAGAGTACATTCGGAAGACTGGACCCGAACCAACCTTGGTGACCTTTGCATGTCTTGCAAAGGCTATCTATACTGGGCTAGCGAGTGAGGCAAAGCGCCCCAGACCAACGTGGGAGTTATCCCTGCTTCTGGTCGCAATGCGCGAACAAACGGGAATGGCACAAGCCACACGAGGACGGACGCGCTCGCAAAACAACGGCAACCTTGACATTTTCCTCAGCAGCTGCAATTTGGCGCTGGCAGATAATTCACAGTGGGAGCAGGGCATTAGGATGCTAGCGCAGCTTGAATTCCCAGCAGATTCAGTGATAGACTGCAGGGTGACTTTTGCTCCCAACCAACAGGTCTAGGTCTCGTGGCATTGTCTTTTTCGTTATCGGGTTATATGATTTGGGGAGGATTACACTTCTGCTTTCTTCAAGTTTTGCATGTGAGTGTCATTTTTAGACCCAGTAAAACTGGGAGGAAATTGGTCAACAGTCCTGCTTCAAGGCGCAACGCTGCGACGTTCGATGCTGTCATGCAAAGATCCGTGAAGCAGGGACTTCTGCAAGGCACCGGCTGGAGGCTTGGATTGGGAATGGCGCATGCAAAAGCGCTGAACTCTGTTTGCACATCTCCAGACGCAGACCAAGACGCTGTGTACTTGATGATTTGAACAAGCTTTTCATTTTTCATGCCATGGTCATCAGATTTGCATGGGAAGTGTGTGGATGCAGTCTTAATCAAACTCTGCTTCTGGTAGAGTCTTCAAGTCTCCAAAAGTTCAGGAAGCAGAGGCATTGCTTGCAGTGCGCAGTTGGTCATCGCAAACGCTTTGGGCAAATGCTTTGCAACTTGTGACGCGGGGTTCCGGTTGTGTGGCTGTGTGGTCCTTGAAGGTGCATACTGCGCTGATGGGGTCGTTGGTGCCTTTGGATTCTGGGTGGGTCCTAGCAGCATCACATATCTCCAACATGGTCCAGTTAAGCATTCAGCCTGACATACTCAGCTACAGCATGGTGCTCGCCGCTTGCCGCAGCCAGCTGCGTTGGCAGCTCTGCTTGCTTTGCACGAAGGATTTGCAGCTTCGATTCTCTCAGAAGTTTCTGACTGCTCTGTACAACGGTGCCATGGTGACATGTGCAGAAAGTGGACAACAGCAGCGTGTCTTCGAACTTTTCGTCCACATGAAAATGTTTGACGTGGAGCTTGATATCATCTCCGCGAATACTTGCATCTCTGCATGTGAGAAGAGGAAAGAATGGCCGTGGGCCCTGCAGGTCCTGGAGGTCATGTCTTCCGAGCTCCTCCCAGGCGATTCTGCAACGTGACTTGGCAGGACGTGTGCAGTGTTAAGACTCGCCAGGGGTAGTTTCAAAAGTCCTTTCCCATTTCTACACACCCTGATCGCAAGGTATGATGGCACAATCACATGCTGCGAGCAGAGTACACAATGGGCTTACGGATTCCAGCTCCTGCGGCAGCTTCCTAATCTTCGCCTGGCGGCACGCATCTCCACGTACAATGCCGCGGTGGGCTCCGAGATGCGGGCTGGGCAGGCAGGGGCCCGCTGGCCGCAAGTTCAGCAGCTACTGTGCGAGGCGAGGGCTTCCGAGCAGCGCCTAGACATGATCTCCCACCAAGCCTTGAACTCAGCGTTCCGCCACGGCTATCAATGGCGACTCCTCCTCTCTGACTTGCCGCTGGTCCGAGCTCAGGCACTCGCTTTGCTGAGACACTGAAAAAGATCGCCTGTTCTTTTGCGCGCATTGAGTGCTCTGGACTCTCACGTTGTGGGAACCGAGTCTTGTTTCCCGCCGCCAGTGAAACTTGAGCCAAGTAGGCGGGCAAAGGTTGCAGCCCGATCTAGCCAGCACTTCTCCAGCCCCATCCCACGCTATGGCACCTGTCTGTAGAACAAGCTCAGAATGTCAAAGCCCCTTGCAGACTCAGAACGAAGAACAAGCAGCATGTAGCAGGTAAACATCTTTGCATGCCGAGTGGTAATGGTTTGCAGGGAAAGGAGCATAATTGGGGCAAGGAATCTACAACCATCCATCGGAAACCAAAAGCTGCACAAGATCTCTACTCAAAAGCTTTCTTTCAGCCAAAAGCTCCAAGACAATACGCTTCCAAACTCCAAGATTTTTAGACTGCTGCATTTTTGAGTAAGCATTTTCGAAGAAGCTCCATGTTCAGCCGAGTGTGTACAGCCCGGCATATGTGGTTCATCCCGAGCTCGCCAAAGCCGTGATGCGGGACACTGAGAAAACCTGCCAGGTCTTAATCAGAAGATTCGCAAGTATTGTATATGTCAATCAAAAAGCACATAGGAATTTTGTAAGGCCCCTGTGGTTTCAATTGCAGAGCTCATGTCCAGTGTTTTAGCATGTGATCGAGGCGCTATTGCTGTCTTTAGTATCTGGGTAGTAGGGTGCCTGAACCCTAAACCCCAGATTCTTGTCGGCTGCCCTAGCACAGAGTTGCTATGTGCCATTTCCCACCGTGGAAGCTCGGCGAAACGAATATAGGCGAGGGTCAATGCAAAAGCACATGTCGGCGATCATCAAAGGGGTTTCCCATGAATTAGTGGTCCCTCTTTAGGGTTCCCGCAATGAGAATATTTTGAATGGAAGAAATGAGGTGGACCCCCTCGGACAAACCTATATATTGAAACGAAACTGTATTCCTACTTTTCTGTGCTGTCTGCATATCTTTTGCAGTGTGTTGTGCTGAGCTCTTTTTGGGTCCCCCCAGATGTGCCTGCTGAAGTCTTTGCTCAGTCTCAAAGCGCGGTTTCTCAAAATTGGGGATCCTTCTTGGGGGTGCCCATAGTATAGTAATGACCATAGTAAATTGGGATCTGCCCTCATGCATTATCACTTCAAATTTGTTTTGGACACACGATGACAGACGGTTCCGCCCTGAGCCTCTCAAATGAGAACGTTCCTTCAATGTCTTTCGTTTAAGAACAGGAGCGCAAAATGAAGCCCATACATAGTCCTAGTTTTGGCTTCCTTTTGTATCTACTTGTCCATTTGCTTCCTCATTGGTGAATCAATGTCCCAACCCTAAACCCCCAGCCCAGAACCCTAAATCCTGGCCTATACCCTAAACCTTCAAGAAATCTCCACGGTCACCCTTGAACCCTAAACTCTCCAGGCTCAGGAGGAGGCCCCGCTTACCGAAGTCAGCAGTGCTTGCTGGCTGGGTGCTTGGTTCTAAAGCAAATTAAGGAAGAAAGTTAATAGTCATAATAGTAATAATATTTCTTAAGATCGTAATAATAATCATCAAAGATCATGATAACGGTAAAAGGACGCCCCTGGCACGACTGGGTTGCTGTTGAGTAACTTAGAATTCAGTTCTTAGAAGTAAGGAAACCCTATTACCTATTATCTACTATGTACTCATGGAATAGTACCTTAGCTTAAGTTCCTCAACAGCAACCCAGTCGTTTTGGGGCTGAGGGTTCCGAGCTGTGGAAGTGTGAGAACGGTTGACACTCATTGCACGCAGACATTCCTCCACTCTGCCCGTTTCAGTTTGATACAGGGGGGAATCTTTGCCATGTTAACCAATGAGCTACAGACATGGTGGGGGGGATGAGTACTACAGTGGTAGCAACAGCTCTGGCCCCTATCTCGTGAAAAAGCAGCAGTTGCAAGTCTGCCCAATGCAAACCCAAGGCGTGCAACAGCTGTTTTCAAGTACCACAGCAGACCGCAAAACTACATAGCCCATACCTTTGCTGAAGCAACAAAGGCTCTTCCAGAGCTTCAGCAGTTCAGCCCATCAGGCAAGGTGGCGCTGTCCTTGCTTTAGGGGAGGACGGGCTATTTGAGGTTGATATCATAGCCAGTATCATCATGGGTATACAGTCATGAAGCATATGAATGACGAATGGAAGTATCCTCAGGCTTCTTCTCGAGTGAGTGAGGATGCATAGGAGATTGTTGGCTATCCTGGTTGCCTCTGTAACATGTCCCTGCGTTCTCATGTTCGGTTGAGGGGAGTGAGTTGCCATAGCTTAAAAAAGAGCATTGCAAGCGAAGACCTGCCAGAGCGGCAGAAAAAGGGCACCTTGGCAAATCATTCATCCTGTGGGGCACCCGAATGGAATCATGCGTGCAGAGGAGACGCATTCCTAAGGCTTCCTACGTTGGAATGTCTTGGACGCACTGCTGAACCCCAAGCGCTGCACACTAACCCCGCTCATGGCCAGTCGGACTGCCCCCTTCCTGGCCTACACCCGGAGTGCCCGACAAGATGTTGCCTGGAGCTCGGCGTCTTCCCGCGCAGCAGAATCTGGACATCTATGTGGACTTCAAGTTCATTCCTTTTCAGGGGATCCGATGCACTAAGATCGTACAGTTGTAGGGGACTGGAAGATGGCGACCTTCAGTCTCGCACCCTTTCTTGTTCGGTGAGGTTTGGAGCATTAGCGGGGCTTTCCGCGTTCTCATGGATGATGCTAAGTTGTACTGTTGCTTCCACAGGGTTCCATGAGTAGGTAGCCGCCAGCGATCCTTGCTTTTGGTACCGTGCCTGATCCACGTGTGCATTAGTCTAGCTGAGAATGACACTCCCCAGCGCCGCGTGCACAAAGGCTTGCACTGTGATCCTCAACTTACTGGTGCTTAGTAGGGAATGAAGGAATGGGTGATAGGCAGTGTCATGGGGGATTGTATGGGGACTGGTATAGGAATCCATTCCTCGATTCCCTGCTATCCACCTGTAAAGCTTAAGCGGCTTGTAAGCAGGGCTAGCTTCCAGCCTTTTTGTCCAGAATCTGCCAACTGTCATGTCGTGGGTGTGCAGCGTGAGCAAGGAGCCATAATATTGACGCTAACCCGCGCGGCCTCGCTTGTATATCGGCCTGGAACAAGACAGCCTCAAATCAACTTGTCCCTTCCTAGTGTCATCATGTGAGCCATACTCTAAACTCCTTAAAGGGGGATATACAAGGGATTATATAGGGTACTACTATTGGGGTTATTAGGGGGGATACTAGGTGTTTAGACAGTGAATCATGTAGTATGCATAATCTCCTCATAGGCCCCCTTACAGAGCCCTGTGTGACCTTCTAGAATACAATATCCCTTGCCTGAATGGCCTTAGAAACTCAGGAGACTATAACCCCAATATCTACCCTATTATAATGAAGTAGTTTCCATTTTCTTTTCCATTATCCCTATATAACCCCAATATAATCCCTATATAAATCCTATAATCCCTGTAGTTTCCATTTTCTTTTCCATTATCCCCAAAATAACCCCAATATAAACCCTATACATCCCTATATCTCCCTAAACATTCGTATGGAAATTACAGGATCCTCCAGCTTGAGGAGCCCGGTGAGCTAAGTTTCTCAGAGCCCGCAAAAAATGGACCCCCCATACTTTAGGTGGACCCCCCACCCAGTAATAGTGACTATAGGGGATAATAGGGACTATATAGGGACTATATAGGGACTATAGGGTTCTAGGGTTTTTAGGGTTTAGGGTTTAGGATAATAGTGACTATAGGGGATGATAGGAATTATATTAGGGTCCTCTTATATTCCTATTATACCACTTTTGGGTGGGGGGTCCTCCTAACCCATACTTTCCACCTAGTTGCACCTGCACCGTTCCTTTGGCAAAGGGGGGTGGGTAGAGTCTTGAACGACCTTCTGAAATACAACGTCCCTATATAGCCCTGTGCAATACTTGGGTGGGGTGGCCTTTCAAATTTCCCTTGGCCTTTGTCTGGCAATTACATGATCCTCCAACTGTCCGTGGGGAGGCTGGCGGGGGGTCGGGCGGGGGGGCCGAGCCCTTTCGGGATCAGGCTGGATGCTTCCAAGGTCACGTGATTCTCCCGAACCTGAGCCCCGACCCCCAGATCCCACCGAGCCGCCCTCCCAATTACGGGCTGGACGATCCGCTGCGAGGAGGGGAAGGGCAGGTGGGTAGAGTCTTGCTCCCCCAAACGCCAGAGGCCGGAGGCCTGGGCGGATACAGACTTAAATTCATAAACCTGAATGGGACAACACGAAGCCCAATCTTGAGGCAGCGCTCATGGGCCAGCTGGAGGCGACCATTTTAACAGTAACAATAGTAATAATAGTAATAATAATAATACTTGTAATAATAGTAGTGATAGCAGTAAGAATAATAGTAAGGATCATGTGGGTAGCACAGGAAGTGCTGCTGCAGGTAGTGACATGCTTTTTTTGGGCCTCGAGGTTGCAGGCTTTCGTAGGGTCAAAAGTTTGCACGATTTTGGGTCGTGCTTTCAGGGTTGACATGGTTTCATCGAATTCTGGCGAGGACCTTCCTTCGGAGTTGAGTTGTTGGTGCCAGCTATTCAGCTAGGCCAGGCCTTAGGTGGTTACTAGTGCCACTTGCTTTCTGCTTCTTCAGCTAAAACAGTACTTCACACCCATCTACGACCGGGGCCCTACCGTCACTGCGGCTACTACCACAGCTACTGCTGTCACTGCTACTGCTGTTGATGCTTGCTTATGAAATCCTGTACCGGTGTTGCCACTACTGCTGCTGCTGCTGCTACTACTGCTACTACTGCTACTACTGCTACTACTACCTACTACTACGGCTACTACTACTAGTACAGTACTAGTGCTAGTACTAGTATTCGTATTAGTATTATTATTAGCAGTACTACTGCTGATTATTGTTATTATTCTATCATGGTTCTTCTTAACACTGCCTCACCATGTCCATAACTGCATATTCAT